TCTTTGGAGAAGTGTCTGTTCATATCTTCTGCCCATTTTTTGGCATGACTATCTGTTTTGTGTGTGTTTAGTTGGAGGACTTCTTTACACTTTGATAAGCAGGAATTTTATCTCATTCATCTCTCTATCCTGAGTGCTCACAACAAACTTTATGCTTATAAATTCTAGTCAATTAACAGTGCAATCTTAATTTCAGCTGTACAATATAGCCATTCAACACTTCTATATGACACAAGGAGCTCATCACAAGTGTACTCTTTTCTCCCCATCACCTGTTTCACCCATCCCCCAACCACCTCCTTGGGGCTAACCATCAGTTTGTTCTCTGTAGTAAAGACTCTGTTTTTTGGTTTGCCTCTCTCTCTTTTCCCCACCGTACTCATTTGTTTCATTTCTTAAACACACATAGACCACACCATATATGGGTGAACACACACCAGAGATGAGTGAAATCATATGGTATTTGTCTTTCTTTGACTGACTTATTTCGCTTAGCATAATACTTTCTAGCTCCATCTATGTCATTGAAAATGGCAAGATTCCTAATTTCTTCCTTTTAATATCTGTCCAGATTCACAGACTAACATTATCTCCTTATATCACTATCATCATACAAGTGTTTATTACTCTTTTCTATGCTAACATTATCTCTGAATTTCATGATCTCTTCTATAGCATCATCCAAGTTACTGATAGAATGTTCTCAAGACAAGATTAAGTATATAGTCCCATGGAATAATAACTTAAATTTTCTCACTTTATGATTAATCTTTAGATATTCATTGAATTCATATAACTATGATGTTTGTTCTATATTTTTAACTAACACACATAACTTTATCATGTTCATAGACTATCACAAGAAATTTAGCAAACACTTTTTAAAAAATTAAGATAATCTAGGACTAGAACATTCTTTTAGTCTACAAGCGTAGTAAAACTAAAGGAAAAAATCTGGGTTACCTTATGATTTTATTCTGGTTCTAACTTATAATCTTACTTTTATAAGACTGCAACATTTTTTTCTTTCTTAAACTGATTTGGTGTTTTTCTCAGGCCGCATTCATGACTAAGATAGATTAGACTAAGATAAGAAAAGACCACTGATGCAATGTTGGGAATTCTCTGGGTATAGCAGTCAATGGGCATTCAAACAGACAGATGGTGTCACCTGGGCAGACCAGGAAATAATGGGAACTGTGACCATGTGTCAGAGTCAGACTTCAGAGGGAGCTGGTCACACATAATGAGTAAGAGCCCAACACCCCCAATGAAAATTACAAAGATTGGACAAGATATAAAGGAGCTTCTGTGATGGGCTGGAGTACTTAGTGGGTCACTTTGTGAAGGGCCAGGAGTACAGGAGAAACAGTCAGTTGGCCATTGTAAAGATTCAGAAATATGGAAGGATACCACAACTCAGATCCTTTGTTATCAAGTAAGGTAAAATTAAGGTATGGATTAAAAAGAAATAACTGGGTAGAGAGTTGAAGCCCTGAGTTGGACTCTGTGCTGGATATGGAGCCAACTTAAAAAAAAATGTTATAGTTTAACTCTTAAGTTTAGGTCTAAGACCTATTTTGAATTAAAAATTTTTTTTTGGTATGGTGTGAGGAAGAAATCTGACTACATTCTTCTGCAGGTGGCTATCCAATTATTCCAGAACCATTTGTTGAAAATATTGTTCTTTCCCTATTGCATTGTCTTGGAATCCTTGTCAAAATCAATTCACCATAGATGTATGTGTTCTTGTCTAAACCTTGATTTCAATTCCATCAATCTATATGTCCATTATGTCCATTTTCATGTTAGTAACATGCCATCTTAATTATGTAGCTTTGTAGCAAGCTTTCAAATTAGAAAGTGTGAGTCCTTAAACTTTGTTCTTCTCTTACCAGTTTATTTTGGCTACGGAATCCTTTATATTTCCACATGAATTCTAGGAAGAGCGGTTAATATATGTAAAACAGATGAGATGTTGATAGAGATTGTATTGAATCTGTAGATCAATTTGGTGAGTATTTCCATCTTAAAAATACTAAAGTTTTTGATTCATTAATATGGGATGTCTTTTCATTTATGTAGGTCTTTCTTAATTTCTTTCAAAAATGTTTTGTAATTTTCAGTGTACATGTCTTGTGTTTCTTTTTTTATTTCATTACCAAGTATTTTATTATTTTTGGTGCTGTTATAAATGGAATTTTTTTCTGGCTTCTTTTAATTTTTATTTTTTTTACTTTCTTTTCAGTGTTCCAGAATTCATTGTTTATGCACCATACCCAGTGCTCCATGCAATACGTGCCCTCCATAATACCCACCACCAGGCTAACCCAACATCCCACCCCCTTCCCCTCCAAAACCCTCAGTTAGTTCCTCAGAGTCCACAGTCTCTCATGGTTCAACTCCCCCTCAAATTTCCCCCAAGAGAAGTGAGTTTTCTGGATTCTTTATTACAAGTGTGTAGAAATACAACTGAGCATTATATATTGATGTATTTTTCAACATTGCTGAACTGGTTAATTATATCTAAGTTAAAAAAAATAAATTCCTTAAGATTTTCTCTATGTTACATCATGTAATCTGTGAATAGAGATAGTTTTACCATTTTGTTTCCAATGTGGATGCCTTTTATTCCATTGTTTTCCTTGAATGCTGTCAATAGAATCTCCAGTATAAGGCTGAGTAGAAGTGGTAGGATGGCCATCTTTGTCATGTTCCTCATCTTAGGGGATAATAATCAACCTTTCATCATTAAGTATGATGATAGCTGTGTGTTTGTTTTTTTTTTAACGGATGGTGCTGCTATTTAAAAAGTAAAACAGAATGTTTTTTGACCAGACATATGCTCTTCATATTGCATCATAAGCTCTTATTTTTTTAAATTAAGGTGGTCCTTTGAGTCATTTAAGTTTGAGAAATCTTTAAGATGTTACATTAAGTGAAATAAGTCAGTCACAAAAATATAAATACCATATGACTACACTTATGTGAGGTATCTAAAGTAATTAAATTCATAGAAACATAGAATAAAATAAGAGTTACCAGGTCCCAAGGAAGAGGAAGAAAGGGGATTTATTTAATGGGTAGAAAGTTCCAGATATGTATCATAGTTTCTTTATCCATACATCAGTTCTTGGACACTTGGCTGTTTCCATAATTTGGCTATTATAAGTTTTTTAATTTTAATCTAAGTATACATACGCTTGTTTTTGATACACCAATAATCTGTGATGCTATCTCTTGGATCTCTTTCTTTTGAAGACAGAACAATCATCAGGGCGTACTTTACTTGGAATCATCAGCTTTTTTTCCAGACCATATCCCAGAGATAGAAAGATACACATAATCTTTCTGCTTTGGTTTCTTGTGCCCCTGAAGGCACGCTGTTAAAAGCTCTGGTTGAAGGTGAGTACAAAGACACCAAGACAATGTGCACAGATACATTTAGTATGTATCCTGCAAGACTGACATTCTGCAGCTCTGTTCTCCCAGAACATAAATTCCAAGGATCACAGACCACATCAAGTCATAGAAAGCACTTAGCTAATGGTGAGTTTTCTGTTAAGTGTTTTTGGAATAAACAAATTTGGACTTTAACGTTTCATACTTCCAAATTCCTCATTAGGAAACTCATACCCTTCCTGCATATGGAATTCAAGCTGAATGATAGACTTGTTAGCTATCCAGTTACATTCTAGAGCCAGTATTTCTGTATTTTTGAAGGGTTGTCAATAGTCAGGGTACTCACTATAGGAAGTCTAGACTGGATCAGTTGTCCGTACACTACTGCAGTACTTTACATAAGTTCTTTCCTTCACACTAACTGCTGTGAGTGGCTTTTCTGCTATGACAAAGAGATAAAGATAGGGGAGCAGACATAAGTAGTTAAAATAAGATATGGGGGGGGGGTGCCTGGGTGGCTCAGTGGGTTAAAGCCTCTGCCTTCAGCTCAGGTCATGATCCCTGGGTCCTGGGATTGAGCCCCACATCAGGCTCTCTGCTCAGCAGGGAGCCTACTTCTCCCACTCCCTCTTCCTGCAGCTCTGCCTACTTGTGATCTCTCTCTCTCTGTGTCAAATAAATAAATAAAATCTTTAAAAAAGATAAAATAAGATATGGAAGGTGAAACAGACAAGCCTTAGCTCATATCCTTGATCATTTACTAATTACATACCTAAATACGAGCAAATATCCAACCATTATAACCCTCAGTTACCTAATATGTAAACCAGGCATACTGGTATTTGTTCTGCATAAGAAGTGGGAGTAATAAAACCAAGCGATGGGCTATTTTTTTTTAATTCCAGTGTAACATACAGTATTATATTAATTTCAAGTGTACAATATAATGATTCAACAATTCCCGATATAACTCTGTGCTCATCAAGATAAGTTTACTTTTAAGCCCATTCTATTTTACCCATTCTCCACCTACCTCCTCTCTATTATCTGTTTATTCCCTATAGTTAAGACTCTGTTTTTGATTTGACTCTTATTTTTCCCTTTGTTCATTCGTTTTGTTTCTTAAATTTCATATATGAGTGAAATCATTTGGCATATGTCTCTGTCTAATGGGCTTATTTCATTCAGCATTATACTCTCTGGGTTCATCCATGCTGTTGCAAAAGGCAAGATTTCATTCTTTTTTATGGCGGAATGATATTTCATTATGTGTGTGTGTGTGTGTATCTCCCATCTTTATCCATTTGTCTATCGATGGACACTTGGGTTGCTTCCATAATTTGGCTATCACGAATAATGCTACAATAAATATAGGAGTGCATAAGAGCCACTCTTAAGCATAGAACGAAAAAGAGACTAGTTCTCTCTGATATTTATTTACATGCCCCATATTACTGAGACCTCAGGGTCTCTGAGCACTAACATGGGTCAGGGACAGACATAGAACTGGAGCTACCTGACTGAAAAGACAAATTCTGTTTCATACTACATTACATGGTGGGAAAATAAATATCTACCATGGATTTTCTTCTTTTCTTTCTACATAAAATTCCCAGAGGAAAATGACAGCAGAAAATCACTCTACAGTGACCGAGTTCATCCTCGCTGGGCTAACAAAGAAACCAGAACTCCAGCTGCCCCTTTTCTTCCTCTTCCTAGGAATCTATGTGGTCACTGTGGTGGGGAACCTGGGCATGATCACGCTGATAAGGCTCAGTGCTCACTTGCACACCCCCCTGTACTACCTCCTCAGTAGCTTGTCCTTCATTGGTCTCTGCCATTCCACTGTCATTACCCCCAAAATGCTGGTGAACTTTGTGACAGAGAGGAATATTATCTCCTACCAAGCATGCATGACTCAGCTCTACTTCTTCCTTGTATTTGTTATATCAGAATGTCACATGTTGGCTGCAATGGCATATGACTGCTATGTTGCCATCTGTAACCCATTGCTTTACAATGTCATCATGTCTTATCAGGTTGGCTCTGGGATGGTAGTTGGGGTATATATCATGGGCTTGACTGGTGCCACAGCTCACACTGGCTGCATGTTAAGAGTGCTTTTCTGCAAAGCTGATAGGATCAACCATTACTTCTGTGATCTCTTCCCACTCCTGGAGCTTTCCTGCTCCAGCACTTACATTAATGAGGTGGTAGTTTTGTGTTTCAGTGCATTTAATATCCTTGCCCCTAGCCTGACGATCCTTAGCTCCTACGCCTTCATCCTGTCCAGCATCCTCCGCATCCGCTCCACTGAAGGCAGGTCCAAAGCCTTCAGCACCTGCAGCTCCCACATCACAGCTGTGGCTGTCTTCTATGGACCTGCTGCTTTCATGTACCTGCAGCCATCATCTGTGAGCTCCATGGACCAAGGGAAAGTGTCCTCTGTGTTTTATACCATCATTGTGCCCATGCTGAACCCCCTGATCTATAGCCTGTGGAATAAGGATGTCAAGGTTGCCCTAAACAAGATCCTTGAAAAAAGAAGAAAAGGGGTATTTTGCCTGAGCAAAAATTTATAATTCTCCAATGAGGTTTGATAAGGAAACAGTCCAAAGACAGCAATGTATGTCTACAAGTAATGAGATTGTTGTGACTACCTGATAATTTGGAAAAACAGTGTAGGAGGAGACTGGATTCATCGTGCCAGTCATATGGAAAGCAGGACCATACAATGGCATGTTTTGGACATAGAATTGGACACCACATGTACATCAGAGAGCACCAAGTATACTGGGGTTAGAAAGCACAGTGCAAACAAATAAAATTTGCAGAATTAGAGTATCGTCTAGGAATAGAATGCACAAAATGGGTATTTTAACATAAATAGGTGAAATAAGTCAAGTACAATTCTTCTGATAATTCTTTAATTATCTTTTAATATGTTTTTCAAGACTTTTAACTTCTACTAGTTATTTGAAAGGACAAAATGTTATAAATGACTGTGATTGTCATATAGCGTTCATAAACTATTTTAATTTTACATGGTTGGTTTGAAGACTGTGACTAATCATAATAGATACCATATACCACCTGCCAGAACTCTATGGTAAGGTCTTACCAGTATGCTTTTCGCCCTCTCTTCTTCTTTTTTAATTCAAGTGTAGTTGACATACAATGTTACTTTAGTTTCAGGTGTACAACATAGTGATTCAACATATGTTATGCTACGTTCTCCACAAATGTAGCTACCATCTGTTACTATACAACACTATTCTAATATCATTGGCTATATTCCCTATACTGTGCCTTTTATTCACATGACTTACCCATCCCATAACTGGAGGCCAGTTTATCCCAATTCCTTTCACCAATTTTGCTCATTTCCCCCAATCCTCTCCCTTCTGGCAATCAAGAGTTTGTTCTCTGCCTTTATGGATCAGATTCTGCTTTTTATTTGTTTATTCATTTGTTTTGATTTTTAGATTCCTCATATGAGTGTAGTCATATGGTATTTGTCTTTCTCAGTCTGACTTATTTCACTTAGCACAATATCCTTTAAGTTCATCTATGTTGTTGCACATGGCAAGATATCATTTTTATGGCTGCATAATATTCCACTGTATAGATATGTCACATCTTCCTCATCCACTCATGTATTGATAGACACTTAAGTTGCTTCCATATTTCAGCTATTGTAAATAATGATGCAATAAACATAAAAGTGCATATATCCTTTTGAATTAGTGTTTTTGTTTCCTTGGGGTAAATATCCAGTAGTGGAATTATTGGATCATATTATGTTTCTATTTTTAGTATTTCGAAGAACCTCTACACTGTTTTCCACAGTGGCTATACCAATTTACACTCCCACCAACAGTACACAAACATTCCTTTTTCTGCACATCCTCACCAATACTTGTTATTTTTTGTCCTTCTGATTTTAGTCATTCTGATAGGTGTAAGGTGATATCTTATTGTGGTTTTCTTTGAATTTCCTTGGTGATTAATATATGGCCAGCCATATATATTCTTTTTATTTGGAAAAAAAATTTTATACTTTTAAAAAAAATTTATTTTTTAAAAATTTATTTTCAGTGTTTCAGAATTCATTGTTTATGTCCCATACCCAGTGCTCCATGCAATATGTGCCCTCCACAGTACCCACCACCAGGCTCACCCGACCCCTCAATCCCCCTCCAAAACCCTCAGTTTGTTTCTCAGAGTCCACAGTCTCTCATGGTTCATCTCCCCCTCCAATTTCCCCAAACTCACTTCTCTCCATCTCCCCATGTCCTCCATGTTATTCCGTATGCTCCACAAATAGTGAAGCCATATGATAATTGACTCTCTCTGCTTGACTTATTTCACTCAGCATAATATCCTCCAGTCCTGTCCATGTTGATACAAAAGTTGGGTATTCATCCTTTCTGATGGCGGCATGATACTCCATTGTATATATGGACCATATCTTCTTTATCCATTCGTCTGTTGAAGGGCACCTTGGTTCTCTCCACAGTTTGGCAACTGTGGCCATTGCTGCTATGAACATTGGGGTACAGATGGCCCTTCTTTTCACTACATCATTATCTTGGGGGTAAATACCCAGTAGTGTAACTTCAGGGTCATAGGGTAGATCTATTTTTAATTTCTTAAGGAGTCCACACTGTTTTCCAAAGTCAGCCATATATATTCTTTCAGCCATATATAGTCTTTGGAAAAGAAGCTCCTCTGCCCATTTTTTAATAAGATTGTTTGCATTTTTTAGTGTTCAGTTGTATAAATTCTTTATGTTCTTCATATATTTTGAATATTAACCCCTTGTTGGATATATCATTTGCAAATATTTTCTTCCATTCAGTAGGTTGCCTTTTTGTCTTATTGATGGTTTCCTTCACTGTGAAAAGCTTGATTTTTTTAAAATTTGAGTATAGCTGACACACAGTGTTACATTGGTTTCAAGTTGATGACAGTGACTCAACTTCTCTATACATTATGTTAGGCTCACCACAAATGTAGCTACCATCTATTACCATAAAACATTATTACAATATCATTGATTATATTCCCTATGCTGTGCCTTTTACTCCTGTGACTTATTCGTTCCATATTCATTCCGTAACTGGAAGCCAGTCTCTCCTGCTCCTCTTCATCCATTTTGCTCACCGCCCCTGCCCCCGTCCTTCTTTGGCAGCCGTCAGTTTGTTCTCTGTATTTATAGGTCTGATTCTGATTTTTTTTGTTTGTTTATTCACCTGTTTTGTTTTTTAGATTCCAAATATGAGTGAAATCACATGGTATTTTTCTTTTTCAGTCTGACTTATTTCAATTAGCATAATATCCTCTGAAATGAGTTCTTGACTTCATTTTCCCTTTCCAAATTTTATATACCTTTCAATGACAAACAGAAGTTTTAATTCTCCATGCATTTCTGACCCCTCCAGGCTATCAGCAGACATACTTCTGGTTCATCTTATCTGCTCTAATAATGCCTTTTCCATTGTTTACTATTAATGTGTGCTTGTGGATATTATCTCTATCAAAATTGTCAAATTCTGAAGAACAAACCATATTTCTTGTTTTAAGATTTGATTATTAATAAGTAACATTTTCCATAGGGTTTATGAATATTCTGTTCTAAATTTTTGCTCTTTTCATAGCAATTGGCAAAAACACCTTTACAAAGAAGGTTGACATCCATTTCTAACAATAATTTAAAGCATTTCAGAGTAAATTTGATTAAGAAAATTTATTGTGATTATTTTCAAAAAGTATATAACATTCAATAAATAGTTTGAATAAAATGTTAAATATGATTTTTATTTCCAATAAAATGATGTAGCCTTTATATAGAACTGAAATGATCTCTATAGCACATATGTTATTATTGCTTCTCATTATTTCTCTTTTAATTTTTGGAAAAAATAAAGTCATCATCTCTCCTTCCTCTTGTTAGGAACTCCTCAGGGGAATATGCAATATTTGTCAGATGCTTTCATTTAGGCCACAAATTAAAACATTCCAAGTGTCACTGTTTTCTGAGTACATTATGAAATCTAAATACAGTTAACAGAGGTCAATGAAAATAAAAACTTTCAGGTTTTCTACTTTGCCTTTGTGGGAAAGAACTTTAAGAAAACTTCTTTAGTGTATGTCTTAAAAATTTCCTGAAATTTTATATTTTAAAATGGCTTGGCATGAAATTCATTGGTGTCCTTACAATATCTCTCACATCCTAAATACTAATATGTAACCTAACAAGAACAATGAATCACACCTATGTGACACTATTAAGCACTTGAGAACAAATGGAGAAAGGGAAGTTCTGTTTCATTTCCCAAGAGTGGATCCTTGTGGGATAAGATTCTAGTGGGAGGCCATTATCATTGTTTGTTAATTAGACATTTATTATCTATACTCAGAGTATAAAATCCTCTCATCCTATCAAACAGCCTTTGAGGGGGACAGATGGCCTTGGGCATCAACTTCACCAGCAATCAAGATCAGTGACTAAAAACAATTGCCAAAAAAAACCTTTTAGACCATGACCCTCTCAGCACTAAGGAGTCTTGCAAGGTTAGTACTCAGAACTATCTACCAGCATCATCATGTCATTTTCCCCTCTAGAACAATGAAGAAGAAAAATACACAGCATTGAACTCTCTGGGAAGAAGAAGGGTAGATCTGAATCTCAGTCCTTGGCTTTTAAAATCTTAGTCTTCCACTCAAGCTCCCTTTCCAGTGCACATACAGATACACGTAGTTATTTATACGTCCTCACCTGTCCTCATCCCATTATTCACACTCTAATGAGCACACGTTCCTTTATTTTCTGTTTCCTCTAGTATAAAGTTATGGCAAATACTTTTTTGTTTACTCATTTCAACTCAAGCAGTGAAGTCTTTGTTGATTTAGTCTCTGTTAACTTATCTCTTACCTTCCTTCACAATTTTATTTAACACCTATTGATTAAAGATCACTGGACACAAAGCACTGTGCCAGGGACTGTGCTGAATTTACAGTCTAGTAGAGAAGGGAAACCAGTAAATAACTAATAATAATTAATAGAAAGTTAAGTAAGTGCTTACATAAACATAGGAAAGGTATTATGGGCACAAAACAATTGGTCATGTTGACTGGGGCTCTCATATTAATCTCCTTAACTAAATGATCCTAACTATTAAATAAGTTTCACAAGGTAGAGGGAATGGAAGAAGAGAAAAGATAAAGGACTATGATGAGTAAAAACTAAGAATCTACTAAATACTCTTGAGGAATAACTAAATAACATCATAACTGTTGGAACAGAAAAAAAGAATACTCTTTTGTTGTTGCCTGATGATATAAATCTTTGAATGACAAGTTGGTTTGAACTTCATTTGGAGACCTTGGAAAATGTTGATAATTTTAAGAGGTTACTATTCAGTAAAAAGTTTCTAAATTTCTGTATATTTTATGTATTTTTAAAATTTTATTATTATTTTAAAGATTTATTGATTTATTTTAGAGAAATAGAGTGAGGGCAAGCAGAGGAAGGGGCAGAGGGAGAGAATCTCAAGCAGACTCTCTGCTGAATGCAGAACCCCACACAGGGCTCGAGCTCACAACCCTGAGATCATGATCTGAGCTTAAATCAAGAGTCGCATGCTTAACTGGCTGAGACACCCAGGATCCATATTGTGTGTATTCACAGAAACAAAAAGAAGATATGTTGAGGAAAGAAATTTTCATTATGGGTTTTCATATCTGCTTTTCATTATGGGAGAGAAAATTGTTGGGCAAATGAAAGATATAATGGAGAGATACTCAATAAATTACAATTAAAACAACATTGATATTTATTAAG